CACGGATTAAGAGAAAATCCTTTACACGTGCTGTGGGAAAGGACACGTTACAGATAGTGAAACAGTGAGAACGTAGCAGGCTTCTCCCTGCCCACAGCGCGGGTGAGGGGGCAGGGGGCAGCAACACTGGCGAGGGGTCGGGGCAGCAGCAGGGGCGAGGGGTCCGGGGACACGTCTCTCGGGGACCCAGAGAGAGCCCTGCTGACCTGGAGTTCTGCGCCAGGTGAGACTCGTCCATCGCTGAGGTGAGCAGACCTGTCAGACCCTCGGGAACAGCCTCCACCGCCAGCAGACTTGTCGTGCAGACGATATTACGGGAAGCTCTTCAGGTAGAAGAAATCGCAGAGCGGTCAGGACGCTGCCTGCGCACGGCGGGGTGGGAGTCCCCTGGGTAAGCAGAAAGACGTGTTTTCTTGTCAGCTACATCCCCTAGAGGATGATTGACTGTTTACGTCAGAAATAAGACTGTTGGTTCATAACTCAGGAGAACAAAAGTGCGCCACGGTGCAGAGGCCAAGAGGGGAAACAGAGGCACGGTTAGCGCCGTGTCAGGTGCTCCCCCAATGCGCTGACAGATCACTCACACTGTATGGTGACGGGTTCAGGGTGTGTGCGGAGCAGCCCCAAGATAACAAAACGAGGGTCATAACTGATAAGCGGACGAAGGAGGTAAAGTGAAATCCGGAAAGGTGTGCGGTTCACGCAAAAGGTGGCAGAGGAGAAACCAACAGAAATGGGGACCGAAGAAGAGACGGTAAAGTAAGAAACAAGCAGTGGAATGACAGATCCCAGCTCCACCATGTCCGCAGTCACCGTCAAAGGTCGGGACACCCCAGTTAAAGGGCAGAGATCGTGAACGAGATAAAAAGGCGAGGTTCAGCCATGTGCGGCCTACAGGAAACTCACTCGAAATATAAAGACAGGTTCACGGTAAAAGACGGAAGGGGATATGCCACACCAGCACCAGTCAGAAGAAAGCCGGGTCACGAGCTGAGGCCGCAGCCGACGTGAGGCCGGTCTCACGGTGACGAAGGAGTCCGTTGGTCCCTCGGCCGAGGCAACAGTGCGGTGGTCGGGTGCTAACGACAGACCTTGCAGCGCAGGCCGCAGGCCCTCCTGGTGCCCCGGGGACCCGACGGGACCGCAGAGGACCGCCGCTGGTACCATCCTGGCTGTGAGAGGCTCCACCCCAACACCGAGCACACGCTTACCAGGACCGACCACAGTCTGGCCTGCAGGCGCACCTCCGGACATGGGACACCCCTGAGGTGTCACCAGCTACGTTCTCTAACCATCAGAGAACCAGAAGGAGAAAGAGATCCAGAAAACCTCCATGTGTCCAAAAATTCAGTAACACGCTACACACTACATAGTATCCCATGAACCAAAAGAGAAATCAAAATCTGATGGTGTTTTGAAATGAGTCAAAAAGAGGACAGTTAATCAGAATTAGTGGGACGCAATAAAGCTGTATGTCGAGAGTTTTATAGAACAAAAGAAGAAAAAACCTAGAGAAGAGCTAATTAACTCTGCATCCGTGAATTGGGGTTTGCTAACGAAGGCGCTGGGGGCCACAGAGGGGAGCCTCTGCACCCCCAGGTTTGGGCCTGAAGCTGGAAGGCAGAATTGCAGAGATGGACGGACGGACAGGCGGCTGGGAGGGCTGACGGGGTCGGAAGTGCTGTGGTTGCTCATGGCTGGCTGTGGCGGCTGTGGCAGTCGGGCACAGGCTACGTTCCAACCGAGGCACATTTGTGGACGGTGTCGGCGCAGGACCACACGGCGGGCTGCCTGAGGCCTGCAGGGGACCGTGCCTGTGTCTCCTCTCCCTCCCACCGGGTGAGTTACAAATACGTTCAGTTCCCAGCATCTCGGAGAACAGAGGTGGGGTCCTTGCTGGCACGGAAGAGCTGCCTTCTGGAGCACCAAGTGTGGGCAGGAGTGAGTCACAGAGATTTTTCCTGACCACTTCCCATCAGCCTGGCTCTGGGTGTGTGTGACCCCAAGTACTGCCGCTGGGCTCTGCTGCGGGGGTGGCTCCGAGGTGGGAGTAAGCCCTGATACTCTTGGGGCCACCCCCGATGAACACCTGTCCCAGAGCCCAGCAGGGCCGACAGAAGACGGACCACGTGCACCTGAGATCGTGCTCCTGGGGGAGCCAATAGCCCGGTGCCCCTCGGTGGCTGGCACAGGGTAGGTTCTTCAAGGTCAAGGGCACTGAGTCGCAGGTGACCTTCACCACCACGCAGGCCACTCCTTGTCCCCAGCAGTCTATAGAGGGCACCGTGCTGCTCACCCTCGGCCGCGTGATGAAGGCCGGCCCCCGTGGCAGCTCGCTGGCTGTGTGACTGATGGCAGCCGACAGCCTGGACCCCGAAGCTCCGCGGCACTCGCTGACCCACTTTCTCCGCTGTGGCTGGAAACATTGACGTAACCGCGGCCGCAGGGCACTGCTGCCCCCACAGGAGGAGATGTTTCTAATTAAACAGGAGGCCTGGCATCCCAGCGTGCCCAGCGCCCAATCCGCTCCACTGGTGCTGGTACCTCCACTTGCCGCAGGGTGTCTGTGCGGGAGGGAGCGCGGTGAACTCCGTGCCACGCCAATCCCTTGGGCTCCAATGTCTCCTCTCCTGCCCGGGCTTTCAGTCCAGACTGCCCTCTTCCGGCCAGACCTGCTGGCGTGGCTACACAGCCCACATCATCCCGCAGGACGGCGCCCGGGACCAGGGCTCTCTGCTGTGCTCGTCCCCGCTCAGCCACCAGCCGCGTGGGGCTGCTTGTTCAGGTCTCGGCGCGGCTGGCGAGTGTCTTCTCTCCAGTATGAATAGCCACGGGTGGCCGGTGGCTCCCATGCTGGCCGGTGGAGACAGACCGCGTTAATATGCAAGGGTGGTTTCTAAAACTTGCCTTTGCCAAGTCTTAGAGCTTCCTGTCAGAATCCTGGCTCTTGAGAAGCATCGTCTGATCCATAGCAAGGACCACTAGTCTGAGTTGTTGACGGTCCATGGGGTACATCGTCACGTGCGCGTGTCTGTTGGTGCAGAAACGCATCCGCAGCTGCCATCTGTGCGCGCCCTCCACCACAACAGAGTGAGAATGTGCTATCTCTGGGCGTCGTGTCTGGATTCTCCTTGAAGCGTATTTGTCAGCAGGAATATTTTGATGAGGAAAAAGATAGAGTTTTGCCCCCCAAAACCTAGAAGGTTAAAACAGAATCTCGCATTTTTAACTTGTATTCTCTCGTGTGTGTGGATGGAGCCCCCATCTTTACAGGTCACATCGACAGGCTGGTGTCCAGACCCCCAGGCAGGGGCACACACAGGTTTCACTGTTGCTGAGGGACTTAGACCAAGCATGGGGTCGTATGTGGGGCGCGCTAGCAGAGTTGGCTGGGGATTCCTCCTCCTCTGATGGCCCAGGCAGCCCACCTACCTTTCAGGTGTGCCCCTGGACGGGTGTGTGCAATTACAGGAGCCCTGTGGTGCTCTTTGTTCCATGGGAGCCACCTGGTTTCCCACCTTGGGAACCCCTGGGCCCCAGGTCATCTGGAATCTCCCCCAGCCAGGCCTCCTTCCCTCCCTGTCCCCCCGACAGCACCCTGCTGTCAGACCCTGTGACCACTGCCCCATGGCCTACCCACCCCCTCCAGACTGGCCACTCCCTGCTCCCATGGGGGTCACTCATCCCCCCCTCATTCCCCCTCCTCTCTGACTCTTGTGGACCCTGGCACCCAGGAGCTTCCCTGCACCCTGAGACATTCCCACACACCCTGCAGGTGGTTCTCCAGCTCCCATTTGCTGCCCTGACCGCTGGCACTCCCAGGATGGCCACCCAAACAGCCCACTCCTGACCCGTGTTGCCTGCAGAGTGAAACATGCCTTCCCAGGCCTGGAGTCAGGTCTGGTGCCCCCTCGGGGCCTCCCACATCGGGGCCTCCCTGAGACTCTGGTTCTGCAGACCTCTCCATCCGGACCCCTCGCATCTGTTCTGAGCCTCTCCTGGTCCTCCCCTCTCCCCTTGCTGCACCCTGAGCCCTGGTCCCACCTGACCTCCACTTCTATTCCTCACGGGTGCCCATCTTGGGGGCAACCCTGTACACTGTGGTGGGGGACCTGTCCCTTGGGACCGAGCCGGGAGGAGAACCTGGACCCTCCCCAGAAGGGGCTGCAGTCAGGACAGTCCAGTCACTCTTCCCATGGGTCTGGCGGGTCTACTCTCTGTCATCATGCTTGGCCTGTAAATCATAAAGGGAAAGTCTTCATTTTGTCTGGTGGGCTGAGTGCTGGACCCACTGTCCGCAGGAACGTACCATACACGTAGACCAGTGGTACGGGTGTGCAAGGCATCTTCCGGAAAGACTTTATAAAGGGGGTGCCCAGCGATTCTGCGGTTCAGTTAGTAGGTACTAGATCCACTCTAGAAATGAGGTCACCAGGGGATCTGAACTCTAAACATGCAGACAGCACCAATACCTATAGCGTCCTGGGTTTTCAAGGGCGAAGGGAGTCCTAGCCAGAGGGTGGAAATGCGCAGAGCTAACACGAGCTAACATGGGAGCAGAACAGACACTCTAGCCACATGCCAGGAGCCCACAACTCATGTGAGCCCTTTCCCTCTCTGGTTTTTCCCTGCACAGAGGTAGAAGCTGAGACCAGAGTGTTTGAATGACGTGCTTGGGCTCACACAATTATTTAGTCCCTGTCGGGTTTTCCCCAAACCCATGCGTCCCGCTGCCACATGCCCCAAGCCCCAGTAGGTCACACCAGGGCATGTCCCAGGGCTACGCCTTCTTGCTGACTGGGCTGCCCTCCCAGGAGCCTTTGCCTCCCTGAGCCTTGGTGTCTCACCAGTAGCAAGAGTGAAGGCCGCACCCTCTTCCGGACTCCCGCATGCCTACCCACACCCCAGTGGCCGAAGGTCCTTGCAGGCCAAGACGCCCCTGACGTGTGTTGGCGTTGACAGTGTCCTCAGCCAGCAGCAGCTGTGCCTTCCCTTTCCAGGTGACGCCATCTGGGCTCCGTCTGTCCTTCCTTACGGCGCCCTTGGCACCTTAAGCCACTACCCCCAGCTGCATTTTGGGAGAAGGATGGAGCCGAAGGTCTCGGAAGGTGGCCTGAACGTGACCCTGACCATCCGTCTGCTGATGCATGGAAAGGTATGGAGCCCAAGGCCACTGTGTCGGGCCAGCTGGGAAGCGAGGGAGGGTGTGCCCACCGCCAGCGTCTGCTTTGTAAACCCACGCGGTCTCGAGCTGACGAAGCAGCCCGCTCCAAATTACACTTCTCCGGGAACCCTTCGAGACTGATTGCCGCCTGCTGCCCCGTCACCGAGCCCCTGCATGTGTATGTCCTACAAACAAGGGCACCGTGCCCCGTCCATGTCAGAATACCGACACCAGCATGTCCCAGCCCCTCACCTCAGGCCCCGTTCAGGTCACCCGTCGTCTAACCCTGCCCTCACCACAGGACACGTGTGCTGGGGGTGGCGGTCAGCCCTCCACATGCCAGACGCGTCCCTGGTGGTCTTCAGCCTGGAGGGACCCCTGCTCTTTCCTTGCATTTCACCCTGAAAGTCCCTGCCCTTCCTCGAGGCCGCTTTTCTGATGTTTCCTCCCTGTCGGTGGGAAGGTCACAGGAGCTCCCCATCAGGGGCGCAGATTTCGGGGCCTCCGTTGCGGAGCCCTTGGTCCCTCGCCCAGGGCTGCGCTTCTCCTCCTGTTCGCACTGCTGGGGCCTGCGGACGCTGCGGAGAACCCCTGGTCGCCAGACCTCAGCGTTCAGCCAGCCGCCCGCGCCCGCACGTCTGTGGACGCCGCGGCTGTTTTGTTCCAATCACTCCCATCCCGTTAGTGCTCACTCGATGCTCTGTCAGAGGCAGGGCCTGGGAAGCGGGGTCAGACGGGCACCCAGGAGCCCCCAGACTCAGGACCTTTGCACAGGTGGCCTGACCATGCTCCCTCCTGACGGTCCTGACCCCCGTCCTTGCTGCCAACACAGATGGGTCTCCTGGTGTCTGTCGCAGGCCGTGTCTCCTTCTGCTCCATGACACCATCTTTCTGTGATTCTGTTCCCACAGGAAGTTGGAAGCATCATCGGGAAGGTAACTACTGAGTGAACTCTGCCTCTGCTCCGGTCTCCGAGGAGGTGACGGGGCCACCAGGCCTGTGCAGGGTGGCAGGCCACACAGTGGGGTGCACCAAGGATTCTGGTGGAACCCCACGGCCCCGCCCCAGCAAGGCCCCTGCTGGTCACCAGGGCAGCCCCACCCCCCACTGCCCTGTGGCCCTGTGGCCTGTCCTTCTTCCCTGGTGTGAGGGCCCAGTGAGCGTGATTCCCTGGCATTCTCCAGAGCAGTGTCCCCTCTGGCCAGCGGGTGGTGGTGAGTCTCTCCTAGCTCCCTTCCAAAATAAAAGAAGCACTCCATGGGAAAGCGAGCACGGAACCGCAGTCTCGGGGAGTCAAGAGCCTGTGGCAGAGACTGGGACGGGGCGCCACCTACCCACCATTTCCAGGCCCCTGGCGTCCAGGGGGCGCCTCCACACTCCATGTCCAGGTCTTTCCACGAGAACCTCGGGGTGTCCCCCTCCCTGCCCCTGGCCTGGCCCTGCCTTGCCCATGATGACATAGATGAGGGACACGAGAACCAGCGCAGACAGGAGCCGCGTGGTCCAGCACCCAGCTACCTCCTCTGCCTCCTCTGAACGGCCCCTCACCAGCTGGCGGTGGGGGCCCAGGGAGCTGCAGTGCACCGGGCTCTCCTCCCCGCCACCCTCCCCCCTTTGGGGGCTGCTGCTTGCTGGCGTCAGGCACCGAGCTCGTGAGGCAGTGCTCCCAACCCCTATGTGCCACACCATAGCCCCTGCCTGCTTCGGCGAAGTCCGGAGTGACGCCTCACCCTGTTGTCTGAATCTTTATTCCAGAAAGGAGAAACTGTGAAAAAGATGCGTGAAGAGGTGAGGTGGCCGGGCCCAGTGCGTCCCGTTTGTGGGCAGGCGGGAGGCGGGAGGCCAGGAGTCATGCCCGGCCCGTGATCACCTCCCGGCGGCCCCTTCCCTCTGACCTAGACCCCCCCGCGTCTGGGTCTCTGTGTCGGGGCGTTGCCGGGGGCACAGTGTGGTGGCTCTCCACACCCTGAAGGAAGGCATGGGGCAGAGGCATCACCGTGTACTGTGGAGAACCCAGCCCGGTACTGCGGTGACTCTGACCCTGGCCCGGGTATGCTCGCCTCCTTCCAGAGCGGCGCCAGGATCAACATCTCTGAGGGAAACTGCCCGGAAAGAATCGTGACCATCACAGGCCCCACGGATGCCATCTTCAAGGCCTTTGCCATGATCGCTTACAAGTTTGAGGAGGTAAGATGCACCCCCAGACCCTGTGTGCTGGGGGAGGGGAGGACATGGTCTCCTGGTGCTCCAGCCCCACGTCCCCTGTGTCAGGACATGGGCACAGCCTGGCCCACCAGGGATGCCCTGCTTGGCTGTAAAGATTTCTCTTCTCCCCGATCGCCTCTCCACTGCCCGGGGGCTCCCCTGGCTGCCGGCCACCTGGCAACGGGCCAGCTGCTGTGCTCGCGAGTCCAGGGCCCGGTGCCGAGCTTGAGCCCTAGCCACCCCCAACGGCTCCTGCCCTGGCACAGGAGCTCGGCTGCAGGCTGGGCCTGGGGACTCTGCTGCGGGCGCGTAGAAACACACATGCACTCACGTGTCTGGGGCACATCTCTCTGCCCGGTCAGCGACTTACATCAAAGTTTCCACGTGTTTCCAATATCATTCAAGTCGCCAGAAGTTACTTAGAGATGCATTCAGAGCGGCCGAGTTCCCATTCGTGTCCTCCCCCAACCCCCACTGACCGTGGGCTTCTGGGGGCGGGAGCCTGGCCCACCAGTCTTTGGGGCCCATCCAGATAGATGCTTTCTTACTGAGCCTGGCCTTTGCACTCACTGGTATGTACCTGACAGGCCCACCCATGTGTCTCTCTCCCTCCCCAGGACATCATTAACTCTATGAGCAACAGCCCTGCCACCAGCAAGCCCCCGGTGACGCTGAGGCTGGTGGTCCCCGCCAGCCAGTGTGGGTCCCTGATCGGCAAAGGCGGCTCCAAGATCAAGGAGATCAGGGAGGTAACCTTCTCTGGCTGCTGGCGCCCCACCACTGGGTGGGTAAGGCCCGCCCCTGGGAAGCGCCGCCTGCCCCGGGGAGGCCAGCACTGCGGGCCCTGCCAGTGTGGAGCTTCCGGTAGCGGAGCCATCTAAAAGCAAAGGGTGGGCTGTGGGAGCCCCTGGCACGTGCACAGACCACTCGCAGTGTCACGCCGTGGGGCTCGGCACCTGCACGGGGGGGCAGGACCACCTCTAACGGGGCGGGGTAGGCAGCACCTTGCCACCCAGTCATGCGGCTCTAGGCCATGGAGGCTGTAGTCCCTGCCCCCAGGCAGGTGCCTCCAAGAACCCCCAGGCCCGAGCAGACCAGCAGGGCTGGGTGAGGTGCAGACTTTATGTTCATGTTCCTTTATTCAAAGAAAGCCTGAGTCCTTGACCCTCCCAGAAGGAGGGGAGCCGCCCTGTCATGATCCCGTCAAGGGAAGACAGCCGCAGAGCTTAGGCCCCTCTAGAATCCGTCTCTGTCTGTGCCCTCAGCTCCCAGGGAGATGAAGTTCCACGTGTTGGAAAAAAGTGACTCCATTTCTGTCTCCGCCTCTGCAAAAGCCACTTGCAGGTTCAGACACCTCTTGTCCAGTGTCACTGTCCCTGTGCCAGGCCGTGCGGGGCCACAGGCTAAGGCACACTAGCCCTGCCCTGGGCCCCCAGGGAAGGAACAGAGGGCCGAGGTGGCAGGCGGGCGTCGTGCCCCTGGCGTGGGCATATGTGCACTGTACCCTCAACATGACATCCTCCTGAGCACCTGGGGCGCTGCTTCAGCGCTGGCCGCCGCCACCAGCCCCTGCCCTGCCGTTCCCCTTCCAATGTCTTGTTTCTGCAGTCCACAGGTGCCCAGGTCCAGGTGGCCGGGGACATGCTGCCCAATTCCACAGAGCGGGCAGTGACCATCTCGGGGACCCCCGACGCCATCATCCAGTGCGTCAGGCAGATCTGTGTGGTCATGCTGGAGGTACAGTCTGGGCATCCGGGGCTTGCCACCAGCCTGCCCCTCGTGCCGCACTGGCCGTGGCTGCTTTGTGTTGGCTGTGGCACGTGGCTGGGGCCCTGAGAATTCACACAGTCAGGGCCGTGTGGGGGCCAGGGGTCAGGAGTGTGACCCGAGACCGCAGCCAGGCTCAGAGCGACCCGAGTGAGAGCCGTGCCAGGTGTGCAGTGCCTGCCGTCTTGGGCACATCCATATCTCGGCCTGGGGGCCGGGGAAAGGGGTGTGTCAGGACACAGCCAGGGGTGGGGGGGGGGAGTCGTTAGTCTGCAGTGGGGGGGCATTCAGTAAAGGGTCGCCTTACCCTCGGCTCATGTCTGCGCCGGACACGCTGCCTGCTGCGGGTGGGACCCTGCTGCCCGGGACCCATGGAGGAGGGTGGCAGGAGGCCTGCGCTCGCCTGCACTCACGGCACAAAGGAGGAAAAGCACAGGAAAATGCCCAAGTTGTAACGACAGAGAAGAATAAACAAAATGGTGGACCCACGGAGAAGCGGAGAGGATACAGCTGAGCAAGACAGAAGCCTCTCTCGAAGTCGTTTTTGGGGAAAAATCCGAGATTTAAATCCCGACTATGACTAGTGGCCCGAGTGCCATGCGACTCCCTGAAGCCTCTCAGGGGCCGTCTGTCTCTAAGCCACAAAGACGACCTGGGGCCGTCCTGCGGCTGCCGCAAGGGAGGCTCTGCCTCGGCCGGTGTCTGTGGGCTCCCCCCGCTTTTGTCCTTCGTTTGCTCTTCAAACCCACATCCAGCTCTTTAAAAAATGTTTGCATAGTTTAATTTTCCCCAAGTATATCACTTTGTGAAGTCGAAGTATTTTTCTAAATACTGGTGTCCCAGTGGTCCCCAGCCACGGGCCACGTGACCGTTGTGCCGGTCTGTGTTCCCTTCCGGCCCCTGCGGCTGGGACCCCGGAGGCGCCATCGGGCACGCAGTGAGCAGACTGTGCGCTTGCTTGCACCGGCACGTGCCCGAGGTGGCGAGAAAACACCTGCACGGCAGTGGCCACGTCAGTGCAGGGTCACGCAACGGTTCCAGGAGGGATGCAGCCTCCTGCGTCCACGAACAAGGGTTAGAACTAGACTCTCGGTCTCCTTGGGACTCCTCCCCAGGGGCGGTGCCGGCACCACGTCCGTGACCCAACGCGCCCGCAGAGACAGGCCGGAGGCCACGGGCTACAGTGCCGGTGCCCCGGGGCGTGCGCTGGCTGGGGCTATCGCGAGACTCGACTGGGCAGCGAGCGCTCTTGGCGGCTGCGAACGGCAGACGCAGGGCTGAGGCGATGTCTCCCTCGAGCTGGGGCCACGGAGCTCTCAGAGGTCGGGGAGCAGCTGCCTCGGTGCAGAAGGCGGCGTCACTGCACCTTGAAACAGTTGGGCCCGTTTTTAAGTGAGGACCAGTGGGACAAGTGGGGCAAAGATGAGGGGCTCTGGACTTCGCTCTGGGGCGGCCCCACAGCCTCGAATAGGCCTCTGAGAGGCTGTCCTCGGGTGTGGGCACGTCCTTGGGGCTGTGGAGAGCATAGGTGTCACCGCAAAGCCCGCCCAGCAGAGCGCACTGTGGGCCAGGGGCAGCGGGTCACAGTGCTCACGGGCCTCTCCTGGCAGAGGACGTCAGGGAGCGCCAGAATCACACACTCATGGCACTGGGGTGGCGGGCACCACGGGCCGCGGGGCCAGAGGGCAGCACCTAGTGAGGGGTCTGGCCCGGACGGGGCACGCCTGGACTGAGTTCTCTGCTGGCGCAGTGGGAATGCCACTCCCTCGAGCTCAGTCTTGCCACCACGACCCGAGTCTCATCTGAGGCTGCAGTGACCCCTGGCTGCACAGAGACGGATCTGGAGGCATTTGGGCATAAGCAGCAGAAACACTGAAGACCAGCCTACCCTGGGACCCAGACTGGGGTCAACTCACAGGCCCCTCAGCAGCCCTTCCTGCTTTATAACAAGGCTGCACAGTGTTCCCAAGGTCATACAGCCTGCCCAGGGTCACACCCAGCTCACCCATGGTCCTGCAGCATGGCCATCACTCTTCAGACTGCCCAAGGTCACACGGCACCCCTGAGTCATACAGCATGGCCAAAACCGAACAGAGTGACCCAGGTCGCATAGCACACTCAAAGTCAGGCAGCATGTCAAGGTCAAACCATGTGTTCGAGGTCACACAGTGTCGTCAAGGTCACACAGTGTGCCCACAATCGCACAGCACGGCTTGGACCCCACAGTTGAACCTGCCACCCGGCGTGCTGAACCGGCCCCACGTGGCTCTGTGTCTTTCAGGTGGCGACACTGGGACGTCACACCCAATAGCCCAGGGTGTGGGCTAGGCCGGGGTGGGCCGTGGTCTCAAGAACTCCCAGCAGGGACCGGCTGCCCTGGCCCCACCCTCCGCCTCTGGCTGGTGTTGCTGAGCCAGACTCAGCCCCTGGCCTTTGCTGCCAGGGAGGACTGCCACCTGGCCGGACGCGGGAGGACCCTGATTGCCTCTGACCAAGGGGTTCGGTCGTCTGTCAGAATCCGGCAGACTTCTGGGACGTGAGAGTATCATTCGTCCCGAGACAAAAATCCTATGCTTGGGGACACAGAATAAGCAAAGGGAGTTACAGCAAAGCTCATCCGACTATAAAATACTGAACTTGGACTCTAAGCTTTTTTTTAAAAAGTTGTTTCCTTTTGTTCATAGTGAGATCCCATGTTTCTAACTGCCCTGGGACGGTGCCCACTGAGCATCAAGGCCTCGCCCCACAAAGCCTGTGGGGCACTGGGCGTGAGGCCCCCAGGCCAAACTGCCCACAGAGCCCGGCTTCACCCTGCGCTTGCGGGAGAGGGAGGGGGATTCCCTCAGGCAACAGGCAGGCTGAGCCAAGAGTGGAGCGACTGGTCCGCAGGTCGCCACCTGCCGTCTGCGCCCCGGCGGGGTCTCGTCCTCCGTTCTCGCTTGTCGGGAGCTGGTGGAGCGCGCTGCCACGGTGGCGCCACGTGGGGACGTATTTAGGACGGCGGCTACACGGAGGAGACCGGCGGCCCTCATGCTGTGGGGCGTCCTCACCCTCGGGGCTGCTGCCGCCTGGGGGACCGGGCGGGGCGGGTGGCACGGGGGGGCGGGCTCGGGAAGGAGGCGCCCCCATCGTCAGGTCCGGGCGCTGCAAAGCTGCTCTAATGCTCTCTCTCCCTCTCCTGTCCCTTTTCCTAGTCCCCACCGAAAGGTGCCACCATCCCCTACCGCCCAAAGCCCGCCTCCACCCCTGTCATTTTTGCAGGTGGTCAGGTAAGAGCCGACCCGCTCGCGGCCTCCACTGCCAACCTCAGCCTCTTACTGCAGCCCCCGCCGCTGCCCGTTAGTGCACTCAGGTTTTCTCCCCCGTCACGTGCACGTCTCCCACCCCTCCCACGCTGGACGCAGAGCTCTCCCGGTCCGCTGCCGCCGCGGGGCAGAGGCAGGGTCGGGCACACAGACGCTGGGCCCGGGAAGCTTCTTCTCCCTGGCCTGGCACGAAGGACCCCGGTTCTGCCCAGGCAGCGCTCACCCCAGTCTAGCTCCTGAGTGTCCTTAAGAAGCCGAGTAGAGGGGCCGGGAGTGTTACGGGTGATGCGGGGCTCCACGTTGAAGCAACTGGAGCCGCACCAACAGGGTCCCTGACCTTCCTGAGGGGAGTTTCTGGGAGCAAGGGAAGGGAAAGCTGCCCAGCCAGGCAGAGCCTTCCTGGTCACAGCAATGGCCCTCGCGCTCTGCGGGCCCCGCACCAGCTGGCCCAGGAGCACCTGCTTTGCACACCTGTTGTTGCGGCCGGGGCCACTGACCTCCTTTTTCCCTGCCTGCAAGGGGTCTGGGAGCCCAGGGGTTGCCAAGACATTTGTGTCTGAGGCCAGCAGTTCATTAGTCGGGCCTAGAGAGGACCAAGGAGAGGAGCTGGACCCACTTTCCCCAAGGACCCGCCCCCTGCCACACCCCCCCGGGGTCACAACAGCATGGCCAGAGGGCCCTGGAAGACGGCCGGCCAGCGGTGCCTGGAGGAGCTCTGTGTCCAGTTGGCGGTGACATGTGTCTTTGTTCGAGGGAGAGTGAAGACGGAGAATTCCCAGAGGTGACCCAGGTCAGGCCAGAGTGGTCATGATTTTATCATTAACAAGTCAGCAAATAAAAATTTATCCCCATGTTAAAGGAATCTTACCAGATCCTCCAGACTGGCTGCACACGTTAGATGAGGGGCTGGGGCCTGCATTTCCAAGAGCAGGATGTGGGCAGCTTCCCACAGGGAGAGTCCCATGGGGACTGCGTGGTTCTGGGCAGGCCGGTGTCCACGGTCCCCGGCTTCTGCCAGCATCCGCTACGGGCCTCCCTCCCAGCCCTCCTTAGTCCTGCGGTCTCCCAGCAGCCCTGCCCTGCCCTTTGTCTGGACCCTTCGTGTCCCCGTGCCCTCCTCCTGCAGCCCCAAGATGTGGGCATACCCCCATTTCACAGGTCAGAAGGCAAGGCCAGAGGCAGTCAGGGGCCCTTGTTCAGAGCCCTGTGTCCTTTCCCCTGACACATGCACAAACCCGCGGTGACACCATGTGGTGGAGCGGAGGTCTTTATTCCAAAGGGAGGCACAGTGACACACAGGGGAGCCTGGGACGCCCAGCGGGTCAAGCCCAGCAGAGCCCTGGCCCTCCGCATCATCCCACACTGTAGGCACCTGCACCCCTGCCCCGGGGGTGGTCTGGCCTCCCCAGTGGCTCTTCCTGCTTATGTGGGGACAGAGGAGCCACCACACATGTTCAGCAATGGGGTGTGACAGATTTAGTGCAGCCACGGGGCCCTCGGAACCCAGACACCCACCTGCTGCAGAGCCCAGGCCTGAGGGTCGTGGCCAGCTCCCCCTCCCCGACTGACCTCCAGAGACGCCCCTCGCTGTGGGCCCGCCCCGGAGCCCCAGCCGTGCCCCTCAGGCCGCTCACAGAGGGTGAAGGTCTCCTCCAGACGGAACTCTGTCCGTCCGGCTGTCAGTTCCGTCTGGCTGTTACCGCTGTCCGGAGGGCCTGGCACACTGCCCGTGCACTTCAGGGAGAATTAAGAATTCCCTCGGAGGAGAAGATAAGTCCGAAACGCCTGGGGTGAGGAGCCGCACTGCCAGGTAGCGTGTGCGGTTCACTCGGGCGTGTGGGGCCGTGTGGGGAGCAGGCCCCGACCTCCATAGACCTGCCTGGCCCGGTGGGCGCAGCGAGTGTCCCAGGGCCCGATACACATGGTGACCCACTGGGCACCTGCCCCGTGGCATCTCCACAGACCTTGAAGGCGAGTCCTGGCCGCTCCGTGGACAGAAGTCCAGGGGGAGAGGCGGTGTCCTTAGCCACTTGCTGCATCTGATAAGATCCCTTTACTTCTCCTGGAACGCCGTTGGCGGACCCGACCCAGACTGGGGCCTTGCCTCCCGTGGTCCCTGTCCAGGGCTTGGCTGACCTTCAACTCCCAGGTTGGGTTGTTTATGACCAAAACTCTCGGCAGATTCAAAAGCCGTGGTTGAGCGGAAACTTGGATGCCACCCCTCAGTGTGGAGTCCATGGGAGTGACACTCGGACTGACCTGGGGTTTCCCTCTTCGGGTGCACACGTGCAGACACAGGTGGGCATCACGTGTCCACTCAGCATGTGCATGAGGACCCACGTGGCCAGGGGCCGGAAGCCACGTCCCTCCACACCTGGGCCTTCCCGCCGGGGCCTCAAATGCAGCTGCCCAGGGCGGGCGTGGCACATTCCACGTCACAGCACGTGAGGCCCGACAATAAGCCTGGTCTTTGCTCTCCCTTGACACTTTGTGGTTCGTTTGTCTTTGGCCATGACGTTTCTGGGAGCACCCGAGCTGGTGGACTGTTGAAGCCGGGGTTGGTGGGGAGGCACAGGTCCACACTCCTGCGGTGGATGGTCGGAATCTCTCTTGAAGCTGAAGCCTCAGGGACCCACACTGGCCCCCAGGGAGTGGGGCCGAGCGCGTGCAGCCCCCTGTGAGAATGGCTGCGCGGCCCTCTAAGGTCACAAGACAGGTCAGTCCCTCTTGTGACTGATTTGGTGCATTTCTTACTTAATCTGCTTTCAGAAAGGTGGTTTGGTTTGCTTTTCTTGGGATAAATACTTTGTAAAGGTGTTTACACTGAAAGCTGATGGAAGTTCAAAAGCTTAACAATTCGTCTCTAACAGGATTCCATCCTTTGCTGGGGCTTTCTTTTAAGAACCCCGGGGAGTGGGGAGCCTTCGCGCCCTCCCTGCTGACTGCCCAGTGTCCGCGCCTATGGCTGTCCATGACTGGGCTGTGGCTCCCCGGGCTCCTGCGTCTGGTGGTGGCCCCAGCCATCCCTGTGGGCGCCAGTGAGGCTCGGCGCCAAGACCCCCGCTCTGCACCTCCCAGTGCCCTAGGCTGCTGGGGGCAGGCGGAGATGCGCTCTGGGAGGAAGCTCTGACCGTGGGGCCTTGGGCCTGTTCCTAGGAAGTCACAGTCCCGAGAAAGCCCCTGTCCCCGGGGAAGGGCCACTGGTGCGCACAGCATGGCTGGCCGCTTCCCGAGCTGACGGTGTCTCTCTGTTTCTAGGCCTACACGATCCAGGGACAGTACGCCATCCCCCACCCAGATGTGAGTCTCCACTCTGCCTCCCCGACCTTCTCTTCTTGTTACCGTTCCCCCCTGCATGCTGCTGTTACTCGCTACTAATATTAATATTACACAATAATATTAATACCGTTCTCTCAATGTTCCTGACCTGTGTCGTATCCATATGACCTTGAATAACCTTTAACCTCTTAGCACTAATTCTGCGCGTGTGGAGGACTTGGCCTGACGTCAAATTGCTCTCACTGCCGCTGCGCTCTGGGGCTTCCCTCTGTGCACAGGGCCTCAGGCAGCGGCCACAGGGCTGCTTTGCCAGGGCACTCGCCCCAGTGGGCAGGGACCGCGGGGCGCCCTCCGCCCGCCTGAGGAGTCGGGCGACATGCTCTCAGACAGGTGCTCTAAGAGACGCGGGAGAGCGTGCTTGAACGTCCGGTAAGGCTGCACTTTCCAGAGCTGTGCGACACTTGCGGCGCCCCCAGGCCTCCCCACCCGAGGTCAGAAGCCAACGGGAGGGACCTTGGTTTTCCCTGCGGTGTTGAAGCCGCGCGCTCGCCATGGGCTGCTCAGCCATCCCCGAGCGCGTTACCGTTGGAGTGCGGTGTCAGAGTTGAGCATGGGGACACCTGAAAATGCACCGTGCAGGGGCCCAGGGACTGAGGGGACAGTGTGTGGCAACTACAGGGCAGCAGGCACAATCCAAGGCCGTCCCTCCCCAGGGATCTAGACGTGCGCCGGGGGCCGGAGGCCTCAGGAGCTGGTCTCAAAGGGAGGGAGAGAGGAGGGGAGGGGGACCAGGCCAGGGCAAGAAGGCCGAGCCAGCGGTCACTCGGTGCTCTAGCAGCTGCGGTGCACCTGGAGTCTGCCAGGAGAAGCCGGTTTTCTCTAACCGGAGACTTGCCGAGCTTCACGGCCTCTCCCGAGAAAGCGTTTCCCGCCTGCGTTCTCCGTGACCCAAGACGCGCATCCGGGAGGGCCGCCAGGCTGACGGGTGCTCGAATCTTCTGTGAACCCCTGCGCGCTGACTGGGTGGGCGCAGACGTGGGCAGTGAGACGTACAGGCGAGCAGGCAAAGGCTTTCCAGAGCGAAGCCAGGCTGAGTAAGAGCTCGCTGCCATCGCGGGGAGCCCCCCTCAGAGAGAGCAGGGGTACGGCCAAGGCTGCTCCTCTTGAAGAAACCCGCACAGGCAGAGTCGGCCGAGCGGGAGGCTCTCTCTGCCCCAGGAACAACCCCGAGTCCACATTCAGTGGTCCCCAGGTTTAGGTGGGGACTACCTTAATGCTAAGTCTCTTGTCCCCATGTCTGCCTGTGGCCACCCCCACTCCTGGAGCTGTCCTCCTCCTGCCCAGAACGTGCTGCGAGGGCCCTAACTCCTTGCTGGGTAGAAGCCGGGCAGGGGCACAGCTGTCTGGATGCAGCCGGTTGGTGCGGTGACACTAGTTCTGCCCACCTGCTCACACCCGTCCCTGCCTGCCCAGCCAAGCCCACAGCCACCTCGACATCCCCCTTGAGGACACGTGTCAAAGCCTGGCCTCTGCTAGGCTCACACCCCATTCCATGTTACTGTGTTTCGTAGAGATCCCAGGAGTGGGGAAGGTGGGGGAGGTGTGAACCCACTCAGCCTTCGAAAAAGAACCATCAGCAGCTTTAAAAACTGTTTGAAGTCTCATACCCTAAGAAGACTGACAGCATTGCCCAAGAGAAGGAGGGAGCAGTGGGGGTCGGCCCGTAAGACCCCCCACAGCAGGCAGGGGCAGGTCCCGGAGCTCCAGGTGGGTGATGCCCCGTCCCTCGTCACCTGGGCGACCACCCACTCTGACCGAGGGGTGCAGATGTTAGAGCCTGGGAGAAGGGGTGGCCCGTCCCTAGCGCAGGAATGCCGTGCAGAGTGGACGCGCCCGTGGGGGGGGTCGGGTGCTGTGATGATGGGCTCCGCGGCTCCTCACAGACGGCCCTGAGTGGGGGTGCTGGGAAATCAGAGCAGAAGCCAAGTGGGTCACAGGCCTAATCCCTGGGGTGGCACAGTCCTCGTCTGACCCGGGGCCAGATGGTCTTGTGCCGCTGGACGTGCGCAAGAGCGGACTGGAGAACCTGGCCCGTTGGCTTTTTGAAAGCTCAGGAACTCAGAAAACAGGGGTGTGGCCCCTGGTAAAGGGCAGTTGACCCCAGAGAACAGCTCTGAGGTTGAGGCGGGAGCCACAGACCCAAAGACGATGGCCTGGGGTTTCATGCGGCCTCTGAGCTGACAGAGAAGCGTTTCTGGCCGGCAGTTCCCCGGGTCGTGGGCACGCGCAGCTGCGGAGGCTGCGGCGTTCGGTCCGGCCGGCTGGTTTCTCTGTTACTTTGCTGCTGTGTCATTCGTGTGATTTTCTCAGAATCTCTTAAAAGCGGGTTGTTTTGCAGCGTTTTTTCTCAGGTTGGTTAAACTGACTAATAATCACTGTTGCGTAACTGCCTCATACGGTTGGTAGAGACGCGAGGTAGTCGACTGTCAGGAAACGGCTCCCTGTGCGGGACCCTCTGCTGTGTGGACTGAGCCCAGGACCAAGCAGCCGCTGGGACTCAGTAGCAAGAGCCCTGACAAGTGTGTGGCTCGCAGGCTCGAGGCCTTGAAGACCGGACAGTCTTACTGATGTCCCATCCCAAACAAAAGTAAAGCCACTGTCTGGTGACGTCGGTGATGGCGGCTGGGAAGGCCGCTCTTACTTGAGTTTAGTATTATTCAGTAGGGATTTTAAAGGCTTTGTTGGTGGAACGCAGATAGGATAATGGTAGGAAGCCCTACTTTATCTTACAATACAACTGAATGCTGTTTAAATGCTTGAGCCACGGAGGCTGACACACGGCACGGGACTGTCCAGCGGCCTGTGACCCGCATCGCAGACTGTGAGAAAACAGGTTCGTTAGCGCCAAGTGTTACTTTACACAGAACTAAACCGTACGTGTTTTTTCTGTGCCTGCGGTTGACGAGCGCGTTCTGGTCCCCCACCTGGAGACGTGCCGGCTTCCCTGCAGGGTCGTGCCTGCCCCTCACCTGTTTAGCCCGAATCCGCCTGGACATGCCAGGAGAGGCACCAGGACACCAGGTGTGGGGAGGATGAGCCCAGTCGTGGCCAGACCACCAGAGCCAGGGGCTGCTGACCACCCCTGCCCAGGTCTGCGTGGCCTCAGATGTGGGGGACGCAAGAGGACTCAGATGTGGGAACCCCCCCGTCCTCCTGCCCACCCAGTAGCTGTGTCTCTTCACTTACTCCACGTGACCACACGGGAGGGACGCGTCAGCCTCGAACCACCCCCATGTGCGATTCTTCTTCGCTGGTCTTCAGAGGGTCCAGATCACTCCCCCTCTGCCTGTTCACCTGCGCCTGGCGCCGACTGTGGGGTAGTGGTCGGGACGGCCTCCCAGTTACACACAAGGAAGTGGCCACTTCAGAAGCGCACGCCCGAGCTGAAGAGCCACTGGCTTCTGGCGGCGAGACCCAGTGACCCAGAGCTCCAGGAAGCACGTCCTTAGCGGGAGACAGTAACACGGGAGTCACAACAGAAGTAGAAGACATCAGTGGGAAAAGGCACCTTAGGTCCTGCATGGAAAGTGTCTCCTAGCTGTCCACTCACATGTCCTGGGGGTGCAGGAACTGCCCTGATGACCGCCAGTCACCTCCTCTGGAGCCCCATGGGGATGGCACAGAGGCTGCTCCTGGCACCTCACAGTGGAAACGGTGGGGAGCATAGCCAGCGCCCCCAGGCTGCCTGCTGCTGGGCCTCACCTCGGCCCTGCTCCTTCCTCAGGGCCCTGCAGCTTGGAGACGTGGGGAGGGACCCACACACCAGACCCCGACGTCCCCAGGTGGGAAAAGCAGGAGGCCGGCTCACCTTAGATCGCCCCGTCTCCCTGCCCCCACCCCAGGGGTACTCGGTCAGCCCCCGTCCTGCGGAGCCATTAGCCGCCTGCCGGCCTCCTCCCAGCCTGCCCCTCCTCAGAGGCAGAGTCTGCATTCATCCCATCGAAGCCCCAAGAAGAGGTCACCACACGGATGGAGGGAAGATTGTCGGAGATAAGCACTGAGAAGTTCTCAGAATTAATAAAAGAAACCAAGCCTCACATTCAGGAATCCCAAGAATGCCCAAACAAGATAAGTAAAAAGAAATCCACTTTATACGTATCTAAAACCTCACGACATCAAGACCTAAAGTGAACCTCCAAAGTAGTCAGAAAGGGAATGTTCCCAAGGAGCAAGCGCGAGGGTGGGGACATCTCAGCAGCCCCCCCGGAAGCCAGAGGTGGTGGCGCGGCGCAGTAGTTGTCAGCCCGGCTTCTGTCTGACGAGTGTCTTCCAAGGACTGAAATGCAAGCATTTTCAGACTCACAGCCATGACCCACAGGCCTCGCCCTTTGGGAGAACAGTGACCGTGGAGGGAAGACTAGAGAGACGGGAAAGAGGGACGTGTTTCATTCACATAAGAACAGGCCAAGAAATAGTGGTGGTTGTGACTGCGCTAGGACGGGACGCAAACATTCAGGTGAACCGAAGCAGCACTTGTCTGCACGCCTACACCAAGGCTGCCTAACTCGTGGGGTAACCGGACAGAACAAAGGGACAGAGACCGCTGATGTGTGCTTCAGACGCACCAAGGGGAGTTCAGACTTCCTGCCGGTCACTGTCACCCCAGAAGAGGCAAAGGTACGGAGGTTAGACTTAAGATGAACGTGTTAAAATGTCAAAGTGACTGCTGACAGAGAAGATTTGACTTCTGTGACTTCCACCCCAGAAAAGAGTTTACTCACGTGACTTCCACTCCGGTGCTGAAGGGAGAAGGGTGGGGGAACCGGTCTGTACAAAAGAAGAAAAAAGAATGAAAACCACAGAAGAAACCTTAGAAAGTCAGGACACTTAGATGTACAAAATAAAATAAAATGGCAGAAATTAGTCCGTATGTGTGTAATTTTGATCAAAGTAAAAGTAACATTCCAGTTAAAAAATAAGACTATCAGACTTCAAAAAGAGAAAAAAAATTAAAAAAAAAACAACAACAACAAAAAACAACGAACAAAACGGAAAAAATCTAGCATTGTTTCCCCCAGAGATGCATGTAAAGAACAAAAACCCAGCAGCACTGAAGGAGAATCTGTCCTGGGAAGAGACTCACGCGGGAAGCCCTCCACACCAACACGAGCATCAGCTGGGCGGGAAAGCAAGACTTTAAGGCAAATTCTACATTTAGTCATTTATGTATCAATAAAGGCTCAGTTCACCAGAAGATACAAGTTCAAAATTTGTACGCACCTACAACATACCTTCAGATACATATAAAGAAAAAATCAACAAATCAAAAAGGTTAAAATCTGACAACAAGTAGGGAGCCTGCCCCTGACTGCTGTGACGGACAGAGCTTGGACACCATTACACAACATGGAAGTCAGGCCCAGAAGCATCTACACAACAGGTTCCCACATTACACCATCAAGAGAACTCACCATCCATCAAAAATTGGAATCCTATGGGCTGTACTCTCTCACCAAATTAATTAAGTTGAAATCAATAATTAAAAGATGACTTTTTAAAGAAATTGTCTTTATTGAAAGTTAGAGAAGACCAGAAAGCAAAAAAAGGTGGGGGGGGGATACCAGTTTCATGGGTAGGAACATGAAATATCTTTAAAATGTCAGTTCTTCCTAAATCAAGGTACAAATGTAATACAATTCCAATCAAAATCCTAACAGGGGTTTAACATGCTGTTTAAAATTTATGTGGAAGAGCAAAGGCCAAGAATCATCAAGATATCACTGAAAAGAATAGACGGTTGGGAGAGCCGTCCTGGCAGACATGGGGACGGGCTGTAGGGCCATACCGCTGGAGATAGAGGGGGTGGGCGCCGGGAGTGACCCTGGGCCCGTGTGCCGCTGAGAGAGCCAGGGGTCTGCTGGCCAGGAAGCTGCCAGTGTGGATGGCAGGGGCGAGGACAGGTGGCCATGGTCATCCACGTGGGAACATTGACCTGAACACTTCTTACATGCCAAGAATTTCAGCACAAGAGAGGAAAACAGCACTTTGAAGAAAACAGAGATCTTTCTGTTCTCAAGTCAGGGAAGGGTTTCGTAACCAAAACATGAGCACAAACCGTGAAGAAAATATAAATGAATTTGACTACAAATTATCTTTTTATAAAGACAGGAAAGGAGAGTGGGAAAAAGATCTTCCCGGCACGTGCAAATGAAGTAGGATTAATATCCGAAATATGAAAGGAGTTTTTGAGAGTAAGCCAAAGTCAGCCCAATGGAAAAACGGGCACAGACACGAGCATTTCACGGGAGAGACAGGAACGCGGCCTAAACACGCCCGGTGGTCTGTTCCTGACAGCGAGTGGCAGGGGCACGGCGTGCCCATCTCGTGATAGCCCAGTGAGTTTCAGCCTCCGCCTGCATTGTGGATCTGTTTTCTGTTCCAATCCAGCATCCAGTGGAGAAGTCAAGGGGCAGAGAGCTGTCCATCTCCTGCACCTGTCCCTCCCCATCCACCTTCCCTCTCCTCCTACCGTCCGTCCCTCCCTCCCTCCCAGTGATTTGGAGACACATGTGAGTACTGGGAGTCTGAATTTTTAATGGCAAAAACATCTCAAAAAGTAGGAATCCCCTTAGCACTTTTTCTGCTCCTTCCTTAAAAAATACAGAAATGGCATCCCAAGGAGGTAAAGTGCTGACGACTTCAGGATAGAACCAAGATGAGAGGGAGGCCCGTGACCTCCACCACCCACCCGCCTCTCTGCCCTCCTGCTCCCTGGACCGGCGTTTATCCAGGCTGCACCGTGCGCCCAGCCAGTCACCCCCAGACATCACTTGACATTCTTGCTGCATGGGCGGAGGGAGAATCACCGCTGGGGAGGCCGTTTCTTCAGGAGAAGCAGCCGGAGCTTAGGGCCAGGACTGCCGAGCTCCCAGCGGGCGGTGGCTCCCCGCACAAGTGCTCCAGCGTCCAGTGGCTTCCTCCGTGTGCCCGTGTGGCCCGCCGGACACACCCCCCGCTTACCTGCCCGGGAGCACCGGACAGGTGTGTGGGGAAGCCCCCGTGGTTCACGATGGTGGTGCTCCCCAGTGGAGGTGGACGGCACCGCGTGGCTGGCCGCTGGCTCACCTGATGCCCCCACCCTGCAGATCAGCACGGGGGCAGCAGAGACCAGATGAGCCCCGCTCCGCCAAGCAGCTCAGTGCCGGAGCTAACCTAGGCCGGTTCTGCCGCCAGGGCCCCACCCTCCCCTACTGTCCCCAGCGGTCCTGACCAACACACAGCTGGGTGCTCTTGGGGACCCAAGACAGACAGGAGAGGATCCTGCCCGTGGGAGGAGTACAAGCACCTGCCCGGAAAGGTGGCGGGACAGGAGCACCGAGCAGCCAGGCCAGCCGACCTCGCGGCCCCAGGGACACCCGAAGGCTCCCCACCAGCCTGTCCCCGGGCCCGAGGGCTGGGGCCCTTGAGGGCTGGTCATGCTCCAGACCACTATCCCAGTGTGCGCGCTGCCTCTCGTGGAAATCCGAGTGACCGTCAGAGCACCCGGCGTGCCCTGTCCCCCACAGCCGGGCAGCCCTGGGCCCGACTCACATGGCCTCTGCTTCAGGCTCCCACACGCTGCTCCAGAAGTGGGGTCTCCGCTCCGTCCTAGGAACTCGTAGTTACCGCCTTGTCACCTTAGCCCCATTCTAACTCCGCCCGAAGGTGGGTTCCGAGCACGCCCCTGCCAGGTGACCTGTGGGACTTGTGCCTGCTGGATGCAGCTTCCTGGGGCCAGTGTGTGCGTCCGGTCCCCCAGCACTGCCCCCCCGCTCGTTCCTCGTGCCCCAGGATGCCGTTGGGTACTTGCCGTCTTTCCTACTGGTCGCCGAAAGAGGAGCCTTTGCTAGGCTGCCCAAGCCATGCGGCAGGGTCTCTGACCCTCCAGGTCCCTTCCCTGCAAGGTCGTCTTGCCAGGGGCACAGCAGGTGCAGACCATGTGTTACCTCTCCTTCCTGTGACTTCAGCGGGTGTCGTGTCCCCATGACGGTGTTTCCTGGGTGTGCTCTTCCGGGAGCCTCCTCAGGGTTCCTCGACACGTGGCCGCTCAGGTCACACTGCTCAGTGATCTCAGTGATGTTAGGTCCTGGGGCAGACTTGACATGGGCCAGGTCAGCCCCCAGCCTTAGGTGCAAACCTGACCCGCACCACCACACCAGCGACTCTCAGCTGAATCTGACCCCAGCTCATCACACCCCTAAGCGGCTCAGATGCACCCAGAGGGGCCTCCCCGAGTCAAGGTGGCCGGTGCTCCCAGCAGGCCCACCCTGAGTGCCACAGGTCAGGGAGCACCCCGGAAGACAGAGAAGTCTGCACTTGGAGGCAGTCGCTCTGTCCAGCAAGGGAGGGACAAAAGCAGACACTGTGACAGCTGTGTCACAGGAGCTGGCCAGGAAAGACCAGGTGTGGTCAGTTCTGCAGTAGCGGCCTTTCTCACGTCCCAGGGGCTCACACGGCGAAAGCTTCACCTCGAAGGCCCGACCAGGAGGCCACAGGTGGTCGCAGCTTGGCTCCCAGCGGGAGTTCTCTCTTCGGGAACAACAGGAGCTGGACCAAGCGGCACGACCCACTGTGGGCCCCTGTGCCCACTGCTGCACCCATGCAGCATGACAGATGGGGCGGCCGTGGTCCTCCTCACGCTAGAAGGGGGTCTGGTGTTTGTGTGGCACCACGTTGCTGACGGCCCTCAGCGACCCACTCCTCTCTCGCTCTGAAGGGCATCTGTGAAGGCTTCTGAGTGTCGCGGTGTGTGTCCTCAGGCAGGAGCGCCGCCTCCCTGACACACTTGTGTGTCTGTGGGGACACCAGCTCCTCCCTGAGTGCCCCGCCTACTGACCCCGGGGGGCTCTGAGGAGGCCCAATCCTCGCCTCCAGAAAGGAGTCTGGGGCCGGCCCCGGAGCAGTGCTGGGACACGTTTGGGACAGGCCTGCTGTCAGGAGGTTAGGAGCAGATACATTTCCCAGACTGCGGTGCAGACCCTGCGGGTGAGCTAGGCCTGAGGGCATCCTGCCGAGTGTCCAGCACTCAAGCCTCCAGTTCCCAAAATATGGCCAGGACTCACCACATTTACCCTTACCTTCTTTTGGGTTTTTGACCTAAGAACTGAGGCCCAGATGGGATGCCCTGGGTGGCTCAGTCAGTTGAGCATCTGACTCGTGATCTCAGCTCAGGTCATGATCTCAGGGTTGTGAGTTCAAGCCCCGCATCAGGCTTGGGCTGGGTGTGGAGCCTAATTTAAAAAGAGAGAGAGAGAGAGAAAGAAAGAAGGAAGGGAGGGAGGGAGGAAGAAAGAAAGGAGGCCCAGATAAAAACAGCTGAAGAAAGCCCAGTAGGTGGGGGACAAAGGGACAGAGCGGCCCATTTGGAGACGTGAGATGCTAACAGCCCTCACAGCGTCTTAGAGGTGCTCACCTGCCCCCCACAGATCCTTCTGGCACTATATTCTGTGATCCTGGAAGGTCAGCTTGGGGAGGCCCTGCAGGGAAGGCAGGGCGAGGTCCAGGCCTAGCCAGGGCTGGGTTGGGGCCAGATTTGCAGAAGGGGGCGTTGGCACAAGGCACGTGCATTCTGTAAGGACAGCATGACCTCGAAGCCCCTCGGGGCCCGGCAGGTCCTGTTCTGTGGCTCTCAGACCCTCCCCACAGAGCCTTGGGGCCTCCCTCGCCTGCATGGGGTTTGGGGGTTACTGCCGCCAGGCCTGTGTGAGCTGCCAGGGAGCCGAGGAGAGGAAAGGAACTGGATGCTCCCACCCCATGGCCCATTGGTTTCCCAGGCCAAGTCCTTGCGCTGTGCGTCTGCCATGTGTCCGCATGGCCCCTCTATTTGTGCAACGTCCTGTTACTGCCTTTTTAATTTGGTGTGACTGGTGCTCGATGACAATAATCTTCTTAGCTCTCGTGTCCCTCCCACCCCAGCAGTTGACCAAGCTCCACCAGCTGGCCATGCAGCAAACCCCCTTTCCTCCCCTCGGACAGACCAACCCCGCTTTCCCCGGTACGTACCCAGCTGCCCTCTCTGACCTCCTCTCTTCTCACCTGGGGACTCTCTTTCTGAACGGTCGTTTCTCAGGGCGGCGAGCAGAGCAGGTACAGTTGTAGCTGCAGATCCCAAGGCTGCAGTGTAGACGCGCAGCAGCGGGCACGTTGCAGGGGCCGGGCGGGAGGTCTGTCTGTGTGTGTCCTGCGGTAGGCTCATCACCTCGCGAGGGCCTTGTGAAGGGACATCTGTCCCCTCGAGGGTCCTCGCCTGCTCTCCGCTGCACCCAGGCATCCTGGGAGCCCTTGTGCAGAACACATCCGTTTGGCCAGACCCGAAGCCAGCTCTGTCCAGGAGCAAGAGCTCAGACAGGCAGCCAGGGGTGCCCTCCTGTGGGAGGCCAGTGCACAGCCCTGGAGCGACACCTGCCCGGGCCGGCACCCAGCCCCGGCCCAGGGAGAGCTGAGATGAGCCAGCCCCCAGCCGAGGGCACCGTCCCTGTCGGCACCCCACTTGGCACAAGGGTGGGGGTGGGCCTTCACTCAGCCACGTCTGGCCAGCCAGATGTCCCTTCCTCCCTGGTAAGGGCGGGGTGTCGCCTCGGCCGCCGTGCAGGTGACCACACCCTGGGCGCGCTGGTCTGCTGCGCCTGTGCCAGTCAGATTTTGAGCTTCCCTAGTTGAAGTGAGCTTGCTTATCTCCTTGAGGGCAAAACATTAAATCTGTTTCTTCTTTGCTCTCCAGGAGAAAAGCTGCCTTTACACTCCTCCGAAGAAGCTCAAAATCTGATGGGCCAGTCGTCAGGTAAAACACAAGCACCCTAGACGGAGAGAGGGCAGGCCCAGAAGGCCAGCATCCGACCCACCCGGGCTCCAGGACCTGGCGGGGGGAGGGGCCAGGAGGCCTGGTCGCGGCTGCCGCAGGGAAGGCGAGCGCCTCAGCGCCATCAGGGCACACGGCCCATGTGGCCGGCCCGTGCGTCTGCCCCGGCTGCTGCTTCTGGGAGGCAGTGGCAGGTCCCAGGATCAGAAGGTGCTCAGGGCGCAGCTGCCTGTCAGGAGGGCCCCAGGGTGGCGGCGCAGTTGGGGCGGGGGGGGGCCGCGGTGCAGAACCGACCTGACCTGTGCTTTGTGGAAGTGTATTTCATAGGAGACGCACACGGTCAGGGAGCAGCGCACCCTCGGCCAGATTTGTCCACACCCATCTGGTTGCGCTAACATCCCCTAGGCGGTCGCAGGGCAGGCTCCGGTAGGCTGACCCCATGGCCCGGAGGGGGGTGGGGGGGTGGGGCAGTGACCCTGCTGGAGCCTTGTGGCAGGGCAGAGTCGGTTCCCTTGGGGGGGGTGTCACCCGCTCTCCCATACCCCTTGGGGTCAGAGCTCCCAGCAGGCGCTGGCTGTCACCCCCTCTAGGTGTTGGCTCCAGAGCCTAGCGGTGCACCCTGTGCCGAGATGCCAGCCCTGGTGCTCCCCGCACCCCACGTGGGTTCCGTCTCAGTGCAGCCCTCAATGCAGTGAATGCAGAATTTAATGAATGGAAATTAGAGAAAAACGTATAGGACATATTTGATTATGGAAACGGGTATCAACCCTTACAAAGTTATCTAGGTGGTGACACGCACATGCCTGTGAGCCCTCCAGACTTTATCCGTGACTTCCCACCCAGCGATGGTTTCCCAGGGACGGCTAGGGACCTAGGGGCCTGGCTTGCCCAAGACACAGAACCCCCACTCCCCCAGCTGCCCACCGGCCCTGCCCCGGCTCCCCCAGCACCGCCTGCAGGCCTCAAGGTTGTGGGACGTGAGGCGTCCCTATGATGACCTCCTGCCCCGAGGCCCCATGGGACCCACAGGGAGAGCATGCACACACGCGTGTCCCAGCACAGCCGCTGGGGGAGTAGGAGGCGTGGTGACCAGGAGCGATGTCACCAACGCTCGCAAAGCAGGTCGGGCTGGCGGGCGAAGCTTGATCCCTGTCCCAGCGCGGGCGGCGTCAGCATCTCACGAGGGAGGCTCACTGGGCACGAGGCCCCTAGACACGGGAATGCCAGCTGTAAGCGGGCATGTCTGCGGACCAGCATTTTATTCCCGTGCCCTCCTGACAAGAAGTCTGACACTCTCCTCCCCTGGGTCAGAGTCTGCCAGCGTGAACGGACAGGACTCTGGGCTCTCTGTCCTTCCCGAAGCAGGCTGGGCGGGCGTTCCTGTCGGGCTCCCCCGGGACTGAGCAGATCTCCTAGATGACATTTCGCATGTCACTGTTGATGGGATGTGGCTAGACGGTTGGACAATCAGATAACTGTATTGAGAATACCTCTCTGAAAAGAAGATAAAGAACAGAAACTCTAGATTTAGCTGCGCAGAAGGGAATGACGGTTCCCGGTGCATTGGTTCATTCAGCACTTGCCAGCGGCCCCCCCAGCACGGAGGGCCCTCGCGGTCTTTCGGGGCAGAGCCTGATGACTGCAGTGCGTCTGGTGTTGGGGACACAAGTGCGTGGAGGAGGAAGCAGGAAGAGGGGAGGGGATGGGGAGGGCAGGGAGGCCGATGGCGGGAGCAGAGGGAGGCAGGGTGGGCGCCGGCGGAAGCAGCAGCCAGCTGGTGGGTTTGGCACAGTCTTGAAGGCATCCGACTTGCGTTTCCTTAGGCTTCTCGGGGCCTGTGGAGCGTGGACCGAGGGGCAAGGGCAGAGGCAGGAACCCGGAGGGAGGAGAAGAGAGGGCTCGGGCTCTGGGGTACTCTGACGGTGTGAGCCGGGCTGCGATGGTGGTTCTGCGGGCGCAGGCTCCAGGCGCACGCGGGACCTGCCAGGAGGACGGGGTGTCTGCTGTGCCTGGACTTGGTGCTCGAGATGCCTCTGGATGAGGACACAGGAGTGCTGAGGGCAGGGGAGCCCGCTGGCCCTTTCGCAGCCCCCTGCACATTTTGCTGTCCCTGTTTCAAGAGCAAGAGTAGACCTCGTCCTGTGAGAAGCTGTCTCTGATTTGCTAGGCCCCAAGCTGAGATTGTAACGATAAAAACTGGGGGCCTGGGGATCCATTAGGCCCGTGTCTGCCCTTTCTGCACAGAAGCTCACCGTCTCTACTGGGCCTGGTGGCTTACTGGTTGATCGTTGAATCCGTGGGGCTGTCGGGGCAGGAGAGCTGCCTGTGGGGCTGCGGGGCTGGCAGCATGGGGATGTGGGACTGCGGGGCTGTGGGGCTGCAGTGCAGGGCTGTGGGGCTACAGGGCCACGGGGCAGGACTGCAGGGCTGTGGTGCACAGGGCATCAGGGCTGCAGTGTGGGGCTGTGGGGCAGCAGGGCTGTGGTACAGGGCTGCGGGGCTGCAGGGTAGGGCAGCAAGGCTGTGGTGCAGGCTGTGGTGCGAGGATGCGGGGTAGGGCTGTGCTGCGGGGCTTGCAGGGCTGCCGTGCTAAGGTGCAGAGCTGTGGGGCTGCGGGATGGGACTGCAGGGCTGCGGGGCAGCGGGGCTGTGGTAGAGGGCTGCAGGGCTGTGGTGTGGGGCTGCAGGGCTGCGGGGCTGCAGTGTGGGGCTGCAGGGCTGCGGGGCTGTGGTACAGGGCTGCCGGGCTATGGTGTGGGGCTGCGATGTGGGGCTGCAGGGCTGCGGGGCAGGGCTGCGGGGCTGTGGTGCAGGGCCGTGGGGTTGCTGTGCGGGACCCGTGGCTCTGCCGGCACAGACGGGGTGGAGGGGCATCTGCACTAGGGGTACATAGGGGGCTGCAGGACACACAATTGGCCAGCATGTGGGTCCCCCAGATGTCTGTGAAGGGCGTCCCGACATCACACGCCGTGGTGCAGGAGTGAAATCAGCACGTGTCCCAGATGAAAACGTGAAACATCACCGTGCTAAGGCTCTTTGTCCTTGTTCTGAGAGAAGCTGGGCCTCCAGACATAGGTTGCATTTGGGACTGAGAGCTCACAGGGCCTGGGCCCCCAGGATGTGTGTGCCCCACCCATGGGGACTATGGGGGGCCGTGGGGGTGGGCACGATGGGAGCAGCCTGCTGTCAGCCTGACCTTGTCCCCTTGGTGTGCCCAGGTCTGGACGCCAGCCCCCCGGCCAGCACTCACGAGCTCACCATTCCCAACGATGTGAGTATACCCGCGCCCTCAGCCAGCCCTGACCACCCAGACCACTCCCCTCCCTTCCCACGGCTGGGTACAGCGGCCACAGAAAGGCACACGATGTCACGCTCCGAGAGACCAGACAGGAAAGGAGCCGAGGGGACTTAGGGGCTGGCCCTTGAGGAGCACGTGGGCCAGGAGCGCTCTGAGGGTCTGCTGCAGCAGGACACCCGTAGCCGGTGCCACGGCCTGTCCCTGCGCAGGGCTCCGCTGACAAAGTGGCCTTATGAACCAGCCCCCACACACGCTCAGCCCTACCTGCCTGTCCTCTGACCCTGATGATCCTGAGGACGCAGACTCCGATCTGAGACCAAGACAGCAGGGTAGGTGTGGGCCACGTGTCCTTGAGGGGCAGCGGCTCAGGTCAGGCTTGCCCAGGAAGGCAGCTGCTTGGGGGACTGGCCTTCTCGGCTCACGTGTCAGTTGGCCTTTTCTGCCATCGAACCAAGGCCTTCCAGATCCTTCCCGGCTTTGCCCCTGGCACCAGCCAGGCAGGAAGCCCTACGAGAAATGCAGAGCTGTGGCGTCAGGGGAGTGTGGACAGGGACGGGCAGCAGGCCGGGGGAGGAGCGAGGCGTAGGGCCGGAGGAAGGGACCTCCCCCCACCCCCCAAGAAACAAGAGACACCACCCCCCTCGGGACCCTGGTGGCCGGCTGCAGGTGACGCGCTCCTGTGTCTCCGGGAGTGGGCGTCCGCTCAAGGCCGCCCCCGACCCTGCCTTCCTGCGAGACGGTCCTTGAGCAGCTTGGTCGCAGGCAGCCCCCCAAGTCTTCACCCACGTGGTAGATGCAGGGACCACGCTGCGCGCACGGGGCTTCTCCTCTGCTCCTTGACTGAGACCGCTGCACTCACGACGGGTGTCCTCCCGTCCCAGCCTCCCTTCCCGAAGGGACCTGCGCCCAGAAAGCAAGAGGAAGGGGTTGAGGCTCAGAGAGCAGGCAGCGTGCCCTCCCGGGGAGTCCCTCAGAAAGAGGCCCCCTTCTTGGGAGGAGGATTTGGTGACACCACTGCTGGGGGGCTTTCCTGAGCTCCCCCCGGCCCCCCGGGGAGGCGTGTGTGCCTCAGAGCCCACGTTCAGACGCGCGTCGGCCGTGATGCCCATCTGTGTCGCTGGCCAGAGCTAGTCATGCGGGGTGGGGGGTCTCCCCGCCACCACAGCAGGACCTTCCAGAGGGCGGAGGCGCGTGGTAAGTGCCACCACACGTAGGCTCCGTAGCACGGGGACCCAGGCCGGGTCTCGGCTGCCAGCCGTGTGGGACCTGCTGCTGGTGGCATCTGGCCTTGGGTTCTGTGGCTGATGTCACAGTGGGGTCCTCACAGGCCCTGGGCCTGTGGTCACCCCACACTTGGGCCCTGTCTCTGGTCCCAACCCCAGATTCACCCAGAGATCTAAGGCCTCACACAGGTGACTCTAGGATGAGAGGTAGGACAGGTGTGTCCCCACAGAGCCCTGGGGTGCAGCAAAGAGGAACCATGGTGCTTGAAAGTGTCTCCGTGGCTTCCCTCGGGGCTCCCTATGGAAGCCCGCTGGGTAAGAGGAGAGAGCTGGGTGTGGGCCGCATGCCCACGGGGCAGGAGAGCCCCTGAGGCCGAGTGTATGGGCCTGTATGGCCTACAGGCTGCAGAGCAGGGCTGGGAGGGCCCCGCTCCCGCCAGGTCGAGGGGCGAGCAGAAGAGCTGGGGGCTCGGCCCGGAGTTGGTGTCACTAGCGCCCACACCGCCTCAGCTCTTTCTGGAAGAGGGTCATGTTCCACACACGTAAGTAAGGAGTGAGGAGCGGCGTCAGGGGCCCCAGGCCAGCTGGGGGGCAGCGCAGGGCCCCTCAGGGGTGAGGCCCCAGGGAGGAAGAGAGTGCTGGGCTCAAGTACGTTTTCAGCAAGGAAATGGAAAGAGCAAGATATTTGTGAGAACGTGTGGCCCCCGTGCCAGAGGAGACGGCTTCCTCAGATGGCTTCCTGGAGGAGGAAGCAAGCCGGTTCTGTAGGAGGCTTGGCAAACAGCACTCGCACTGGAGGGGGAAGCTTCTGGAAGGGAGATTAGGCTGTTGGAGGCCAAGGAAGTGTGCGGATCCTCCCGAGTGCCGGCGTCTTCTGGGGACCCTCTCCGTCAGGGGCCAGTGCTGCCGCCCCCATGCGGCCCACGAGCCCAGCAGTCCCCTGCCTTGCCTGGCAGGGTTGGAAGGCAGCCCTCGTGACGTCTCTGCTGCCAGAAATGGACGAGTCGAGGCTCCAGGCCGGGGAGAGGGGCTGCTCCCTCACAGACCTCAGGGCAAGGCGGGGGGCGGGGGCAGGGGGCTAGGGAGATGGGGTAGGAGGTGGAGGGAGCCGGGCGGTCCTGGGGTGGAGGCTTTCTGAACATCTGCAGAGACTCTGACGGTCTAGTGAGGCAGCTGACCTCCCCCAGGGAAGGAGGGCAGAGCTGAGAAGCTGGAGGTCACCTCGGGGACAAGAGCTGTTGTCACTGCACAGGTCCAGGGGCGTCTGTGTTTGTAAATGGGCTTCCTTCCTGCTGGCCACCCTGCACCTGGCTCCAGGCTCCCTCTAACCCTCAGACGCGTGGACAGAAGCGGGCGGCTTCCGCCCCAGGCCCCGGGAGGCAGACTTGGACACTGCTGCACTGGCCCCACCCCTGCTCCATGACTGCTCTTGGAGCTGACCTCAGTGGCCCTGGCTCAGGCAGGGACTCGGTTCTGCCCCCAGGGAACATGGAGAGGTGCCAGCTGCCGCCTCTGTGGACGCTTCTCTGGGGCCTGAGTTGCCCCCCACGCAGCAGGGTAGGCTGCCCCAGAGAGCTGGTCTAGAACTCGGGCTGCAGTCCAGCCCCGTGTGTGGCTGCTTCTGTGTCCCAGGGAGCCCTGGCTCTTACCCTTCTGGCTGCTTGACTCTTGGTGACCCGCCTATTCCTTCAGATGGCCTAGGGCGGCCAGAGGTCATACCGTGGGAAGCACAGGGAGTGTATGTCCTCAGAATTGCACCAAGTTCGTCAGAAGATGGGTTTCAGGCAGCAGAGACCTTTAAACTCTGGCTTCAGACAAACATTCCTCCACCCCAAGGACACCACCAAGAGGGCCCTAGTGCCAACGCCTTCATGCTCCCCGTCTCCCAGGTCTCCAAAGCACAGCAGGGGAGGTGACGCGGCAGGTGCCTCTCCCCTTTGGGGCCTGTGCGGACTCGCTGCGGCAGGCAGAGCCCAGGCATCTGCAGCTCAGCCCCATGGGGAAAGCGACCCGGTGCCCTGCCTCCCGGGGGTTGGGGGGGCGGTGCTCATCCTTCTGGGAGGGCGGAGTGTGTGGAGTGGGGTGGGCACCAAGCCTGGGCTGTCCTCCCTCGGGGACCTCCCCAGGACTCTGCACACACTCAGCTCGGGGTGGGGGCTCTTCTCTGAGGGAGTCCTCCGTCCTTTTTTCTAGCTAATAGGCTGCATAATCGGACGTCAAGGGACCAAAATCAATGAAATTCGACAGATGTCTGGAGCTCAGATCAAAATTGCCAACGCCACAGAAGGGTCATCCGAGCGCCAGATCACCATCACGGGGACCCCAGCCAACATCAGCCTTGCCCAGTACCTCATCAATGCCAGGTGAGTGTCCACAGGGCCCTGTCCAATGTGTCGCTGGCTGGACACGACGCTCAGAGGACTGGCTCGCCGTCGCGGGAGCCCGGACTGTGCCTGGTCCTCTCTGGTGACTTCTCTCTCCCGGCTGGGCTTGGGGGTGGGAAGTGGCGGAGACAGTCTCCACACATCCTTGGGGCCCTACCCCTGTGCCACACGTTCACACATGACCATTCGCCCTGGAATCCTGGCGGGGGGCGAGCTGCTCACAGGCCAGAGCACATAGGGAGGCTACACGGCCTGAGGCCAGCCACACGCTTGGGTAATTGGGTTACGGAGTCTCAGCACATCACCGCACTGTTCTCTCACACGCCCGTGGCCGTAAAGACACGGCCACCACCCAGCCCCCTGCCAAGCAGCGAATCTGGGCACTGTGGGCGGGCCAGAGGGGACACCAGGGGCGGGGGAGGTCAGCGTCCCGGCGCAGTGGCGTGCCAGAGAACAGAGTGGCCACACCCGGGGCCAGACCCTGCCCTTTAACTCAGAACATCAGGCCGGGCTCGGGGGGGCCGGGTGGACAGGGGAGGCAGCCCCCACTGCGTGCCATGGGCAGCGTGATGCCGGCGCCCCTCCCGGAACAGCTGCTGTCGAAAGGAACATGGTGACCAAAGCTTGTCCAGGCGGTTAGTGACACACCCCGATGTGGTGACAGGGAAGACAGACCCTGCCAGCCTGGTGCCAGTGAGTCCTCCTCCCTCCATCCTACCTCGGTCTCCAGCTCCCGGCCACACTTCTGACCCGCAAGAGGGGGCGGGTGCGAAGGCCGTGAGGACCCACAGCGTGAGCCGTTCGCTTCCGGTCCCGTTTCACGAGAACATCGTGACCTGTCTCCCCTGTGCCTTGTCCTCTCCAGGCTGACATCTGAGGTCACTGGGATGGGTGCGCTCTAATCCCGCCCGACGGTCTGCTCCGTGGACCCTGACCTGCACCGGCTGCACCGGCTGCACAGACCGCCCGCCCGCCGTCCATCGCAGACACAAATAGAGGTTTTCTTTATTAACGGAGGCTACCTATGCCATAGACATACACACACCGACAAAGCAAATCTGTATGATGTCTGTCAGCTCAGGCTCTGTCCCGGATCCTTCCCTCGCAGTTACTTTATGCTCGTGTGTTCGTGCATTGGCATGCGGTGTTAGTTCCTTTAAACGCTCTGGGGCGCTCCCATCTGTGACGTTTTAGAAGTACTGCCCCTTAGTGTCCGTGTACCCGTTGAAGAATTAGTTTGGCGTTTTGACGGCACTGCCCACAAGCCGTCTGTCCTAGACCGTCTAGAACAGTGGCCGCTTTGAGCGGGTTCAGTCCCACTCAGCAGCCCTCCGACTCTGCCCACCCCTGCAAGCCTGTGCTCCCTCGGCCCCCGTCCACGCAGGTCTGCATCGGGCAGGGGAGGGAGAATGGAAGACAGGGTCCTGGGCAGGGTGCCGGCGAGGTGGGGGTGCTGGAGTCCGGACTTCACTGAATCGTCTGTCACGTGCTGGGGACGCACACGGGGACCCCCAGGCGTCTTCCGGGGGGCTGGCCAGGAAGCACCTCTGCACCACGTTCGAGTTCAATAAACGTTGTGCGCTGCCCTCACTGGCTCTGGCTCCTGTCTGTGCCCCCCAGCACCGCGGGCTCATGTGCGCACACGCACACACAGCTGGCTGATCTCACGGGTTAAGGTCTCGTCCCCTCCCCACCCTTCTTCAATGTCTGACTTGCAAGGTCATTCTAGTGTTGCTTTTGCAAACCTTCCTAAAATGACAATAATGGAAGTCCTGTTTCTGGTTAGTAGAACGCACCTCTCCCCCACCGCCACTGTGTGCTGGAGGCCGGCCCCGCACGCTGGCCAAGCCGCCCACCGGCGGGAGTGTGGGCACGGCCCGGTCCCCACACGGCTGCCTGCCCCGCTCGCTCGCTCGCGACGGGCAGCTCTGCCCACCTGTGCTTGACTGGAAGCCTGCTGTGCCTCTTCTGGACCCTGAAGCTCTTGGGGGCGGCAGGACACAGGCCCCCCGTGGATAGCCCCCACACCCGCTCAGGGCAAACAAGGACCGAGGCCCTTCCTGTCTGCTGTGTGTGCCCAGGCCACCTGGCCGAGGGGCTGTGCTCAGGGCCGGAGCTGGTGGGGCTGCAGTGGACCCAGGCCTTCCTCTGGGCACAGGAGCCGTGGACGGGTTGAATAGGTATCTTAGAAACAAAGGAGCCACGGAAGTAGGAGAAAGCCGCAGCGGGGAGGGCGTCAGAAGTGCCGTGGCACACAGATAAGGCGTGGCCCTGAGGGGCGCGTTCTGGAGGAGAAGAGCTGGTGGGGGGCGGCTGCAGCTTGTGCAGGGAAAGAAAGAAGCGCAGGAGGCCGGGAGTGGAGCCCGTGAGGCCCGCTGGGGACAGGAGGCTGCAGGGACCAGAGGAAGGTGGGGCTCGGGCCAGGGAACGCCGTGTTCCAGAAGCATCTTGAAGAAGAACGAAGGATGGCCACAGGTCAGAGTGGGCTGTGGAAGAGAGGGGCCCGGCAGGCAGGACGGCTCCCGGTCTGAGCTCTGGAGAGGCGACTCGCCATCGTGAGCGGCAGGTCTGCGGGGATGAGAGCTCAGCCGGGACTTGCTGGGGTGACAGGAGACAGGGGCCCTGAGGTCCATGATGGGAGCATAGTCTGGGCCGGAGAGGCGTGGCAGCGCCCAGAGGTGATGAGGGGAGCACTGCAGCGGCTCCATGCAGGACCCCCGCCAGGAGTCAGGAAGAGGCTGCCTGGGTGCTGGGCGAGTCACAACCCCAGGGGTTGCCCCCAGCACTGTGAGGAGCTGGGCCCAGGGAGCGGCCCCAAACCACAGCGAGGGGTGATCGTGGGGCAGGCACATGAGCACACGCGCACGCGCACACGCACACGCGTGCTGTGAGCATTCCCGCACTGGTCTCCGTGAGGGCACCTGCTCTCGTCTCTCGGGTAAAACAGCTGGAAGTGGAGTGACAAGGTGTGTGTTTAACTTTTCAAGACGTGTCTACACTGCTTCGCAAAGTGGCTGCTCCATTCTTTTCTTGCTTTTCTTTTTTTTTAAATTTATTTGACAGACAGAGATCACAAGTAGGCAGAGAGGCAGGCGGGGGTGGGGGGGAGGCAGGCCCCCTGCTGAGCAGAGAGCCCGATGCGGGGCTCGATCCCAGGACCCTGAGATCATGACCTGAGCCGAAGGCAGCGGCTTAACCCACTGAGCCACCCAGGCGCCCCATGGCTGCTCCATTCTCCATGCCCTGCACGGCACTGGAGGGCCAGGCACGCCCCGTGCTGGACAGCGTGTGGCACTGCTCAGTCTTGCTTACTTCAGCCGTCCCAGAGCGCATGCGGGAGGGGCGCAGCTCGCCGTGCATCCTTCCTGGGGCTCAAGGGACATCTATACCTTCTTTCTGAAGTGTGTACTCAAAACTTTTGCCAATTTTTCAATGTGGTTTTTTAGATTATGTTGTTTTGAGGACACTCGAAACATGTTCTGCGTGAGTCCTCGATCAGACACTCTGATGATTGAAGCTCTGTTGTTGGGTGCATGCGTGTTTAGTGTTGTTATGCTGTCCGCATGCTGCGCGAGTGTGTCCTTCCAGGCTGTGACTCGTCCTTTCAGTCTTGCGGTGACGTCCCTTGCACAGGGCACGTGATTCGTCTTGATGCAGTTTGTTCTTCACGGGCCGCACTCTTAGTGGTGTCACAGCTAAGGAATCTCTGACTAACCCAAGATCACGTGATCTTCCTGTGTATTTTCTTCTAGAAGTTTTTGTTAATTCCCCCACTGAACTGCCTTCCCCCTTGTTCAAAACTCAGTCCTCCAGGTACATACGCGTTTACTTCTGGGCTCTGCTTCGTGGCATGGATCCGTGCGTTTATCTCTGTGCTGGTTCCATGCAGTCCCGGTCGCTTCAGCCCTGACATCAGGCAGCGTTAGTCCTCAACCTCGTTTTTCTTTTCAACGTCGTTTTGACTATTCTAGGTTCTTTTGCACTTCCATACGAATTGTAGAGTCAGTTGCGGAGTCTCCACACAAGGAGTCTGCTGGGGTTTTGATTGCGTTGGTGTGGAACTTGTTGATTAATTTGAAGGTCACTGACAGCTCAACAGAATGGATCCGAGAGCCGGGGCCTCTCCCCAGTTGTGTGCCATTCAGTGTACTTCCGCAGTGTCTTGTAGTGCCTGTTCTCAAGGCACAGCTCACAGTTCTTTCGTCAGACTCATCCGGAAGTGTGCCATGCTTTCTGTACTGCTTTACATGTTTTACCATTAGCTTGTAGTTGATTCCCAGTGTATAGAAAAAAATGGACTTGTGTGTGTTAATCTTGCATCTTACAATCGGTGCAGTTCAGTGTGGTGCGGACTTGTCTGTCTCCCTTGAAGTTCTATTCGTTTTAGCTTTGTTTGTTTTGAAACTCTGTTGTTGGGTGCATAAGTGTTTGGTATTGTTACACTGTCCAGATCATTGGCCGCCTTGTTATTACAAAGTGGCCTTCTTTATCTCTAGAGGGCCCCTCTGTCTGCTGTCTACATTTTCTGCTTTGCTGGATGCTAACACAGCCACCCCCGGTTTCTTTAGATGAGCATTAGCTAATCTAACGTATCTTCCTCGTCCTGTTAGCTAATCTGAGTGTATCTTTCTCATCCTTTTATTCTTAAGCTATTTGTATTTTATATTTAAAATTAATTTCTTGTAGGTCTGGATTTCTTTTTTTTTAATTTTTAAGACATTTTATTCATTTATTTGACACAGAGAGAGAGATCACAAGCAGGCAGAGAGGCAGGCAGAGAGAGAGAGGAGGAAGCAGGCTCCCCGCTGAGCAGAGAGCCCGATGTGGGTCTCGATCCCAGGACCCTGAGATCATGACCTGAGCCGAAGGCAGAGGCTTAACCTCTGAGCCACCCAGGCGCCCCAGGTCTGGATTTCTTAATACAACCTGATAGTCTTTCCATAGGGATACTTGGGCAATTTACATTCGATGTGATTATTAATGTATTTAGATTTAAATCTGTCACATAGCTGTTTGTTTTCTATCAGTCCCCCATATTCTTTCTTCCTTTTTCCTTCATTTTCTGACTTTTTCTGGACTCACTTAAAATTTTTATGATTCCCCTGTATCTCTTGTGTTGGCTTCTTAGCCATCACCCTTTATTTTGTTATTTTTGAACTCAGGTTTATAAACTTCCCACAGCCCACCTTCGAGTGACCCTCCACAGGGATTTCAAGAGCCTTGGGCACGCACTTTCTTCCCCCCCATGGCCTTAATGCTGTGTCACACATCTCACGTAGGCACAGGTCATATACTCCATAGTACAGTGTCCTCGTTTTTATGTGAAAACTCATTCTTATATTTTTAAAAGAGATTACATAGAAAAAATCTTTTATTTCCCCACTCACATCGCTACCATTTGTGGTGCATTTCGTTTCTGTGTACAGACCCCGATTTCTGCCCAGCACCGTTGTCCTGCTCACAGGACGCCTTGACCACCTCGGCCACTGCTCGTCGCGCAGGCCGACTCCGGAGGAATTCCTCAGACTCCCGATGTGTGAACGGATCCGCACACGGTCTGTTTCTGAGAGGACCCTTGCTGGGTTCACAGCTGTTTGTCAGGTTCATTCGGGTTTAGCCTGTTCGACGCTTACAGATGTCCCTCCGCTGCCCGGTCGCTCGCCTTGTTTCCAGCAGGAAACCCGCAGCTGGCCTCGTCTTGGTCGGTGTGTGACGCGCCCTTTCCTTTACGGGCTGCGTCCCGGCAGTTTCTGTACGGCTGGGTTAGGGCATCTTGGGACAGTGCGCCCTGGTGTGATTTTCTTACGTGGCTTGTGCTCGAGGCCCTGCAGGGGTTCTCAGTTCCCATGATACTGGGGGGGGGGCGGTTCATGGCATCTGGGGGGCTCAGTCGGTGAAGCATCTGCTTTCAGCTCAGGTCATGATCCTGGGGTCCTGGGATGGGCTCCCTGCTCAGCGGGCAGTTTGCTTCTCCCTCTGTGCCTCCTCACTGCTTTGTGCACAGGTGCGCGTGCTCTCTCTCTCCCTCAAATAAACAGAATCTTAAAAATAAAAAATAAATAAATGGGGGGGGTGTTCAGCCATTATTTCTTGAGATACATTTTCTGCTCCCACCCCACGCCCTCCGCTCTCTCGGGGTCTCCACCACACGTCTGTGATACGCTCAGAGTTGTCCCCAGCTCCCTGCTGGCCTTTCTATCGTTAACTCTTTTTTCTCTGAGTATTTCATTTTGACGGTTTACAGAGGTGCCTTCAAGTTCGTCTTTTCTACAGAGGCCACTAGGCTTCCCACCTCTCCAGTCCTTCCAGATGGTTCTTCCCTTTTCCTTGAGTACCGTCCTTATGCTCGTGCTGTCAGACCCGTGAATGCGGGAGTGGGGCCTGT